CCCCAGCCCCCAGCCGCCACACCCGAGGATCCCCTCACCCAGCCACAGCCGTGGAGTCCCTTTCTCCAACCCTCTTCCTCACAACGGTCACACCCGACGCCTCACTCCATCCTCAACGGTCGCGCTCCTAGGATTTTCTCTCTTCCGCCCGTCTCCAGCCCAAACTTGGGTCACCCCCCATCCGGAGCATCAATGAGGGACACACCCCAAAGTTAGTCGCCTTGAACTCACCGGAGGCAAGGGCGGGGGTGGCGGCGGCAGCCAGAGAGCACGGCCCGACTGGTGGTGTAATGGTTTCCTGCACGTCACGATTCCTTTTCCAGGTCTAAGCCACTGCGCAAAACCCACCTTGCCAGCGACAAAGATGGTGGACAGGAAACTCAACGTCAGAGAACCTCGCCGAGTGACGTCATCCCGGCGCGCGGGGGAGCCCCAAGGCAGCGGTCTCGTCGCCTTGGAGATGCAAGGATTTTATTTTTTTGCTTGGTCTGGAAGAGACATGCCACCGTCGTCTCAACCATGGTCAGTGTCAATCCGAAGAGATATATTAAACACGCTGACGTTCTCGGGATTTGTTTCCTCGTACAGGTGTTCTCTAAAAAACTTACTGAAATATTCTGTTACTTTCTTAAAGAAAAACCAACTCAGCTAATTTCCCGGGCCAGTTCAGGAGTATGGACAACGGTGATCCAGCCCCGCACTACACACGGGCCTGGGACTAGAGGAGAGTGGTGCAAAGAAAAAGGTTGAGATGGCATCAGATCTAAGTTCAAACCTCTGCCCGAAATGTGACTTGGAAAGTTGCCTAAGGTCTCCTCAACCTTAGTTTTCTTATCTGCGAAATAAAGTCTCAAAAGATTTGAGTTCTCTTGGGTTTGTGAAGCTTAACCGGGATAAAGTACGTTATGCACCTAACATGTAATAGGTGTGCTTACACGAAAGTTTCTTTTGCAAACCACAACTCAGACATCTCTGTACCTTCCCCTCAATTTTGCTGTGAACCCAGAACAACTGCTCTAAAGTAAATAAAGTCTTGTTTTAAATGTGGAGAGCCCTGCCAGCCTGACTCAGTGGCGCACTGACCTATGAACTAGGAGGTCACGGTTCCATTCTAGGTCAGGGCATTCTCCCCTAGGGCACATGCCTGGGCTGCCACTCGATCCCCAGTAGGGGGCGTGCAGGAGGCAGCCCGTCATGACTCTCTCATTGATGTTTCTCTCTCCCCCACTTTCTGAACTCTCTGAAATCAATACAAACATGTTTTTAAAAATGTGGAGCATGAGCCTGGGGCAGAAGCTAAGGAAACCAAATTTTGAAAGGGGTCAAGGAGGAGTAATCAGAGAGGTAGAGGGAAAAGCAGGCAGTTATAATGTTTCTGAGTGCTTTTATAATTCCATGAAAGTAGAGGCTGTATCAATCTGTTTGCTCTTCTATTTCCGAGACAACCCCCCTGCAAAATGTGTTGAATGAATGAATGTATAAGTGAGTAGTCAATAATATCAATTGCCACAGAGATATAGAGGAAGGGATGAAAAATGCCCAAGGGTTTAACAACACAATTGTCTTGAGAGAATTGCTGAGAACATCAAGAGATGAAGGCAAAAGCCACAGTGCAGAAGTTTGAGGATGAATGAGAGTTGTGAAAATGAAATCAGGAGTTATAGACAACTCCATAAGAAAGTATCGCTGAACAGAGATATAGGATGGTATTTGAGGGAGTAGCAAGACTTTATTTTTAAAGTTCTATACTCACACATTTTTACACTATCCCTTTAGCAATACCATGTGTTCACTTATCTTTCCTACACATATGACTCCAATATCTCTATCTCTGGCTTGGACCTGTTCCCCAAACTTCACCACCAAACTGCTAACCACACTTATAAGTAATTCTATAATTATGGTCCACCCAAATTAAGCATATCATAAAGGAATGAGGAGTATGGGAGAAGGTTGAAAAACTTGGTTCCAGGTACAATTCCCAGGAGACAAAGGTGGATTTAGTCCAAGAAGATGCCACCACAAAAATCTTAAAGAACTTTGATTTATATCTCTTCCCTATTCAAAAACTTTCAACAGCTGCTCATTGCTTAATACCTGCAAAACCCATTCTTCCCACAGTTTTGCCTATCTGCCATGTTCTTTAGTTTTCTCATCTATAAAATGGGAAAAATAGTAATATCTAATCACAATATTGTTACAAGGATGAAATGAATTCGTATACGTGAAGCACTTGAAACTATAACTGCACATAGTATGGACTATGTAAATATTTGTTATGATTTTATTTCAAATATATCTTTATTGACTTCAGAGAGAAGAAAGGAGAGGGAGAGAGAAAGATTAATGATGAGAGAGTCATTGATCGGCTGCCTCCTGCACACCCCTGACTGGGGATCGAGCCTGCAACTCCGGCATGTGCCCTGACAGGGAATCGAACCCCGATCGCCTGGATCCTAGGTCGACGCTCAACTGCTGAGCCACGCCCAGCTGGGCTGTTATGATTTTATTTCAATAAATTACACTGGCCCTGCCGGCATAGCTCAGCGGTTGAGCGTCGACCTACAAACAAGGAGGTCAGGGTTCCATTCCTGGTCAGGGCACATGCCGGCGGTTGCAGGCTCCACCCCCAGTAGGGGACGTGCAGGGAGCAGCAGATCAATAACTCTCATCATTGATGTTTCTCTCCCTCTCCCTTCCTCTCTCTTAAATCAATAAAACATATTAAAAGAAATAAATTACACTGAATTGCTCAAGCAAGATCCTGGGGGTCACTGATTTCTCTCTCTGCTTTAACTGCCACATCCAATCTATCTCCGTTTTTAATCCTACCTTCAAAATATATCTCAAATTCATCCAGTTTCCTCTACTCCACTTCATTAGTCCAAGCCACCATCATCTCTTGCCTGGACTACTAGAAACCTCAACTCTCCTCCCAGTCATTATCCACATAGCAGCCAGGTTTTTGTTTCTTAAACATTTTTTTTTTTTTTAAGTATAACAAACACTCAATGGAGTGCACACACATAAATGTAGAGTTTGATGGATTTTCACAAGGTAAACATAATCACATAACTATTATGGGGTCATCTTAAAAATATAAACCTGATCGCGACTCTGGTGGATAAATCCTTCAATGCCTTCTTCCCATGGCACTTAGACTAAAATCCAGGCTCCTTCCCATGGCTCTTAGTCCCTGCAAGGTTTGGCCCCTGTCTATCTAACATCATTTTATGTCTTTCAGTCACTCCTCATTTCCCCTTTTGCTAGCTATTATAACCCTCAAATATGCCAAATTCTTTCCCACCTTATGGCCTCCACAAATACTGTTCCTCCTACCTAATATACTTTTCCCCCAATTTCTCACATGCCTGGCTCTTCATAATTTAGGTCTCAATTTAAGTGCACTCTCCTCAGAAAGGCACTCCCCGATTACCCACTGTCTCCCCCATCCCAGCCCTCTTACTCAATTTATAAATTATATACTAGTTTATTTGTTATCTCCCTCCCCAACTAGACTGTAAATTCCATTAGGGCAGATATCTTGAATGTTTTTATTACTACTTTAAACCTAGCACTTAGCATTTGTTAAATACATGAATGAATGTACACAAAATACTTAAACTAACAAATAAGACTCTCCATAATGTACCCAATCTACTTTCTACTATTCCTTTCTGGAGTGCTATAGTTAAAGGAAACGAAACAATTTCCTTCTCAAATATACGTCATGCTGCTCCCTTGGCCTGGAAAGCCCTATCACTACTACGACTTCCCCCAAATGTACTCACCTTTTGAGGTCCACCTAATCCTGAAAATTCTCAGTGGACATCTGCTGTGACACTGAGGTACAGAAGGTACCAGGTTACATCATTATGTTAGAAGGCAACTGGCAGAGAAAAGCTGAGATAAAATGCAGGTGGGGCAAAAGTAGGTTTACTGTTGTTTATATGGAAAATGATACAATTATTAATAATACGAGGATAAACTTTTTCATATGACTGTAAAGCTACTTTTGCCCCACCCTATATGAGGTTAGAAATGCTATTCCCTTTGTTTGGTTACATAGGGGTTCTCTGTTTAAGCTAGTTTGAACTGCCTTATTTCTCCCTGCTGGTAGTTAACTCTTCCACTAAACTCACATCAATCACATTAACCTATCCAATGGTTCTTAATACCTTTTAATATAAGTGCAACCAATTTTATGTCTTATCTCATCTACTAAACTATAAATCTGAGAGTGGGATTTGTGAAGAGGTGTATACTTGTGGGCTATACTAACTGATGTGTTATTTTTTACTGCCTTTCCTTTTTCTTAATGTAATAACTTGTTTACTTTTGGAGTATCCTCACAGGACCATTATTAATCGAGATGTTTTGCCCCCTTCTGGCTGTGTAAAAGAGGAAATCTGAACCCAAGGTAAGTCAATAGGAATTTGAATTGTAAGGACAGTGACAGAAATTTGTTGGAGCTCATTTATTCCAACAATGTTGCCTGGATGAGACTTTGCTCATTCTTGCTAGAGACATCCAATAGGACTAGTGTAGTTTCTTCAGAGCTGGCTTTCCTTATTTTGTTAGCTACTTAATATGCTTCTAACAAATTTATTTAGTTTAAATTAGCCTGTTTCTGTTGCTTTTAACCGAACAACCACAATTGAAACAAATGTTTAACTAGTTTTCTACTTATCTTAGTTGATGCTATTTTTCAATTTCATCTTTTTGCTGTTTGAGAAAAGCCTGTATATAACAGCTACCATTAATCAAGCACCTAACATGCACCAGGTACTTTATAGATACATTATGTCTAGTCCTTAAGCTCTATAAGGTAAAACTATCAACGTGACTTTTTCTAGCAGGCATTTTGGTAGAGTAAAAAACACCTTTTAGAACTATAATTAAGGTTAACTTGCAAAATATTTCTTTCTACTCAACTAAACCCAAGCCTTGTTTCTAAGGGTTCTCATTAGGCAAACCAATTATCTGTCTTTTTACCGTAAGGTCCTCTGGGCAGTGAATAGTACCTTCCATTTCTAGCTATTTAGCCCTGGGGCGAGGGGAGAGTTCTGCAGAAAGGAGACAGGTAGAACTTTAACTTTCATCCAAATTGAATAAACCTGTATCAGCAATGCGAACGAGGCAAAGCTGCACACGATATAACAGCACTTCGTAAACCGTAAGGCAAATTACACTAACTTTGGTATACACAGAAAAGTACTTTTTCTAACCCTCCCCAGTTCATGCTGGGCGGACAGGATCCCTTTGTCTTAGCAAATGTGACAAACCCTCCCGTGTACGGAGACAGGAGCAGTCTCATCTAGTGCAGCAAGTGCCTAGTTTATGCTAGACTGTAAACAAACGTGGAAGACAGGTAAACTACCAGCTTGGAGGAAATGTGGTCGTCCCAAGCTTTGAGGAACCGCAGGAATCTTTCTCATTTTAACCATCTTTCTTTATAATTGGCAGCAACACAGCTAAAGCTTCTTCTCTACCTAGGCGGCTACAATCTTTCCCGGAAGGCACATGGTGTGAACTCACCACCACCCCAGCCGCGCCCACACCGAGGGGCTTCCCACCGCCACATTCCCTTCATCCCTCCGCTCCCAGCTCCACCGCCCGCGGGGCCAAGTGCCGGCGCCAGACGTGGGCGCCCCCATCTTATCAAGAAGACCCCTGCAGAGACTCAGAGCTGTGGTTTCCTACCGAATCAGCAATGCAAAACCAATAAGTAACGCAAACGAGCGGAAAATTCATCTCCAAAGAAAATACAAAGTGCCCTCTTTTATTTCAGCGGGGCGGGGGCGGGAGCTGAAGTGCCAGTGGGTCATAGAGTTTTCTAGTTCCGGTTTCGGGGCCGCTTTTGGGGCTAGAGCGCCTCTCTTCCGCTGCGGTTCCCTACCGGCAGCGGCTTCTATTTCCGGGGACGGCTTCGGTCATAAAGCTGAGACCTCCCTTCAAACGTGGCGTCGCGGGTCCTTCGCGCCTCGCCTGGGGTCAGCGCGCAAGGACGGGCGCTGGCGGGGTACCTGACAGCGAGCAGCTGGAGCCGGTCCTCGCGTACCGGCCCGCACTGCACCTCTAATCCCTCAGCACCGGCTGGCTTTTGAGCCCTGACGTTCGGAAGTCCCTGATTCGCAGCCTCCAGGACTGCAGCTCGAGGACAGACACCTATCCCCCATAGTCACGCTCTGCCCTGTGAGGTGCAGCGTTTGACAAGTCACCCTTTCCCCACACACCACTGCCACTCACGTCTGCGTTAACTTAGTTCTTAACTTCCTTCAGACCCTGTCCCCTCTGCCTCCAGAAGTGGTGTCTTCCTCCACCCCACCCCCCGCCGGTTCCCGTAAAAACTGAGAGGAGTTTCGGAGATCCTCCGGAAATTACTTCTAAGACTGAGCACCCATTTGATACCCCAAACAAGTTCATGCTTACTAGAGAGTTTGTGGGCAAAGTGAAACCCAGTGCACACAGAAAACTATGGCTGAGCACGGGGCTCACATCACAACTGCTTCTGGGGTGGATGACCAGCCATCCATCTTTGAGGTGGTAGCACAGGACAGTTTAATGACAGCAGTGAGACCTGCTCTTCAGCATGTGGTCAAGGTAAGGTATTAATTCTTTAAATGGTTTTAGGGACAACTGGGTAAAAACCAAACCAATCGTTTGAGCTTATTTTGTAGCCTAGGTTTGAATTTAGCAATTAGCATATAATTCATATCCTATGATTTAACTGGTATTGAGTCCCTGTTATGTGTAGAGCCCTGTAATGAATACCCAGCACCTCAGGGAGGATAGGGTACACCCCCCAAAGAGTGACTTGTTTAATCTCAAAGTGTAGAATTTAGAGGGGGGGAAAGAAATGCAAATGTAAGGCACAGTAACTGTGAAATGGAATGAATTTTATTTATTAATTTACCTTGCTTTAGGTTCTTGCAGAATCAAATCCCGCCCACTATGGCTTCTTTTGGAGGTGGTTTGATGAAATCTTTACCCTCCTAGATCTTCTGCTCCAGCAGCATTATCTGTCTAAAACCAGTGCCTCATTTTCTGAAAACTTTTATGGCTTAAAGCGGATTGTAACAGGGGACACACACAAGCTTCAGAGACTGGCCAGTGCTGGTCTCCCAAAGCAGCAGCTTTGGAAGTCAATTATGTTCCTGGTTCTTCTTCCCTATCTGAAAGTGAAGCTGGAGAAGCTGGTTTCTAGCCTCAGAGAAGAGGATGAATATTCTATCCATCCCCCTTCTTCCCGCTGGAAACAATTTTACAGAGCATTCCTGGCAGCCTACCCATTTGTTAACATGGCCTGGGAAGGCTGGTTTCTTGTACAACAACTTCGATACATCCTAGGAAAAGCTCAGCATCACTCACCACTATTAAGTCTGGCTGGAGTTCGGCTAGGCCGACTTACAGTTCAGGATATACAAGCTCTGGAGCTCAAAGCAGCTGAAGCCAACATGATGCAGCAGCCAGCCAGGAGGTAAGGCCTTAACATTTGATTGACAAATTCTAAAATCTTACTTTACTGTATGAAATCACCTCCCTCACTCCATTTGAGGTATTTCATAAAATCATAGAAAAATTCTGTGTTCATAAGACAAGGATTGCCATCCTGGTAACCTATCTCATCGTTAACTACTACATTTTTCTGTACAACACGTGCTATGGCAAGGCCCTGAGCTAGGTGCTTGCTTTACGTACATTATTTCAGTCTTCTTCACAACTCAATGAAATAAGTTCACTAACCCCATTTAACAGTTCAGGAAACTAAGCCCTAACAGCTAAGTACCCTGCCAAGGTCACACAGCTAGAAGGTGGGAGAGCTGAGATTGAAGCCAGATCAACACAATCCTCAAGACTGCCCTTAACCACGATGCTATACTGCTGCTAGTTAGTGTGCATGTTCTCCTACAACTTCAAATATATATTCCTCGATATTGCTAAGTTAATTTTTGTTAGAGTTGTTTCTTTTTCTGGATATACTATTTTCCACTCATACACAAAAAGGTCTATATAATCAATGTCTTACTAATTTCTTCTCAAACACAAAACAAAACCCAAGTCATGAAAAAAAAGCTTAGCTCCTACGCTCCTAAAATACTGTAAGTCAGAAAGAGGGAATCATTTAGAATACAACCTTAAGAAAATACCAGTCTAGCAACTATTCAATCCCAAACTGAATTGGTGATTCTTAAGTGACTACATTTATATTAGTCACTCTGTGATTATACCTAAATAAACAGTTTCTCCTTTTGTCTCCTTGTTCTATTCTCCAACAGTGTTACTGAGAAGATAAAGTCAACTCTGAAAAAAGCTATGGGGGGTGTTGCCTTATCCCTCTCTACTGGCCTTTCTGTCGGTGTATTCTTCTTGCAGTTCCTTGAGTGGTGGTACTCATCTGAAAATCAAGAAACCATCAAATCGCTGACTGCCTTGCCTACTCCACCACCACCTGTACACCTAGACTACAATTCTGATTCTCCCCTGTTACCCAAAATTAAGACTGTGTGCCCACTGTGTCGTAAAACCCGAGTGAATGATACTGTTCTTGCCACTTCTGGCTATGTGTTTTGCTATCGCTGTGTGTTTCATTATGTGAGGACTCACCAAGCTTGTCCCATCACAGGTTATCCAACAGAAGTACAACATCTAATTAAACTGTACTCCCCTGAGAACTGAAAGGGATTAGCATCTTGTCTCAAAGCAAAATTATTGCACTATAAGGCCACAGGACTGGTTTTCAGCATGGTACACAGCGTTGTTTGATACTTCTTAGTCTCAATTCATAATTATATGAATTTTAAACAACTATGCGGATTTCTTTTAAGTGACATACCCATTGATCTTAACCTTCTAGCCTGTTCTCTAGACCCCAACTTAAAGCTAACTAAGCTGGTCAGAGTAGGAGAATCGGGACTGGCAGGGGACGTGAGGGTCAATGTGGGAGTGGATAAAAGAGGATAAATAATCAGTACTGAAGATTTTCCTTAATGAACAAAGAGGTATAGAAGCTCTCAGGAAAAACCCAAGTTAGATCTCATAAAGTGGGTGGTAAAGTTGCCGGAAGCAGGCAGGCCTTTTCTTTAGAAAAGTGTTTATCTGCTTATAAGGAAGAGGTATTATCAGTTTGCAAACAATGTGAAAAGTGGGCTTGCTCTTTATAGAAACACTTTTGAAAAACAACAGTTCCTTCTATATACTGTGACCCATTTGTTATGTAACATCTGCTGTAATTTATTAACTTTTAAAGATTCCTTTATTAGCCATACATGTCTTGGAAACATTAACGGAAAATTAGGGTCGAGTGTACACAGGGTGGGGCAAGAGTAGATTTATAGTTGCTCATATGGAAAATAATACAATAATTAAAAATAATACAAGAATAAACTGTGTTTCATGTACTCACAATTGTAAACCTACTTTTGCCCCACCCTGTATATAGAGTAGCCTTAAGATTTCAGTGAGAAAGCAAAGCTAATGAGCAATGAAGAGGTGAAGTAAAATACTGATTTAACTATGTAAAGAAAGGACCTTTTATTAAGCTCTTTCTGCTTGCTGTTAAGAGTTTGCTAAACTGGCATGAATTATACTGGCTATTACTAAAGTTTCTATGAAACGCTTAAATAAATTTTAAGAATAAATGTTTTTTGGCAAAGAGCTGTTCCATGTTGTCATGATTATGTAGAAACTTAAAAATTACTTCAGTTGTTTAAAGTAAATTTTTCCACTCAGACAACCTTTGACTTTTAGGGGTAGTTTTGTATTAACATTTTGCTTTGTTGCTAATCCAATACTTG